CAGCTTGTAGGTGTCGGGGGGAGGGGGGGATGGCGCAGCTTGTAGGTGTCAGAGGGGGGATGGCGCAGCTTGTAGGTGTCAGAGGGGGGATGGCGCAGCTTGTAGGTGTCAGAGGGGGGATGGCGCAGCTTGTAGGTGTCAGAGGGGGGATGGCGCAGCTTGTAGGTGTCAGAGGGGGGATGGCGCAGCTTGTAGGTGTCAGAGGGGGGATGGCGCAGCTTGTAGGTGTCAGAGGGGGGGATGGCGCAGCTTGTAGGTGTCAGAGAGGGGGATGGCGCAGCTTGTAGGTGTCAGAGGGGGGATGGCGCAGCTTGTAGGTGTCAGAGGGGGGATGGCGCAGCTTGTAGGTGTCAGAGGGGGAGATGGCGCAGCTTGTTGGTGTCAGAGGGGGAGATGGCGCAGCTTGTAGGTGTCAGAGGGGGGATGGCGCACCTTGTAGGTGTCAGGGGGGGGATGGCGCAGCTTGTAGGTGTCAGAGGGGGGATGGCGCAGCTTGTAGGTGTCAGAGGGGGGATGGCGCAGCTTGTAGGTGTCGGAGGGGGGATGGCGCAGCTTGTAGGTGTCGGAGGGGGATGGCGCAGCTTGTAGGTGTCGGAGGGGGGATGGCGCAGCTTGTAGGTGTCAGTGGGGGGATGGCGCAGCTTGTAGGTGTCAGGGGGGGGGGCGCAGCATCAAGGTGTGGAGGGGGGGATGGCGCAGCTTGTAGGTGTCAGAGGGGGGATGGCGCAGCTTGTAGGTGTCAGAGGGGGGATGGCGCAGCTTGTAGGTGTCAGAGGGGGGATGGCGCAGCTTGTAGGTGTCAGAGGGGGGATGGCAAAAAAAAAAATCATTAACTATAGTTACTTCTTAATGGTTTGCACTGTGACAAAAGCTCCGCCCTCAATCTTCTGCCACGCCCTTGTCTCTTCTGCCAGGTACTTGTGCCGCGTGGAGGAGATGCGACAGTCCCTGAGGATCATCCTTCAAAGCCTCAACAAGATGCCTGAGGGGGAGATCAAGGTGGATGATGCCAAAGTGTCTCCCCCAAAGAGGTCTGAGATGAAGGTGGGTGTCTGAATAGGGCGGATGGTAGGGTAAAGGTGGAGGTGTGGCCGGAGGAGACGGCCCGCCACCTTTCCTTGCCGGCCCATGAAGGGCCCCCACTTTACATTAATATCCAGTGGAGAAAGGCACCCTTGGATTGGTGGTCGGTGGGTGAAGGGCCCTCATTTTACATGGATATCCAGTGGAGAAGAGGCACCCTTGGATTGGTGGTCGGTGGGTGAAGGGCCCCATTTTACATGGATATCCAGTGGAGAAGGGCACCCTTGGATTGGTGGTCGGTGGGTGAAGGGCCCCCTTTACATGGGTATCCAGTGGAGAAGGGCACCCTTGGATTGGTGGTCGGTGGGTGAAGGGCCCCCACTTTACATGGATATCCAGTGGAGAAGGGCTCCCTTGGATTGGTGGTCGGTGGGTGAAGGGCCCCCACTTTACATTGATATGCAGTGGAGAAGGGCACCCTTGGACTGGTGGTCAGAGGGTGAAAGGCCCCCACTTTACATTGGTATCCAGTGGAGAAGGGCACCCTTGGATTGGTGGTCGGTGGGTGAAGGGCCCCCACTTTACATTGATATGCAGTGGAGAAGGGCACCCTTGGACTGGTGGTCAGAGGGTGAAGGACCCCCACTTTACATTGGTATCCAGTGGAGAAGGGCACCCTTGGACTGGTGGTCAGAGGGTGAAGGGCCCCCACTTTACATTGGCAGTATCCAGTGGAGAAGGGCACCCTTGAATTGCTGGTCGGTGGGTGAAGGGCCCCCCACTGGACATTGCTGGTCAATGGGAGGCAGGACAGTGGCACCGCATTCTATTTTCTTGTTGCCTAATGGTGGATTTTTGCCATTTCTTGAAGCGTTCAATGGAGTCCTTGATTCACCACTTCAAGCTGTACACCGAGGGATACCAGGTCCCCCCAGGAGCCACATACACGGCCATCGAGGCCCCCAAGGTGAGAAAATAGGGACTGGGCGGAAGGGGGGGCAACGGGGCGGCATTGTACAGCAAAGAGCCAGGAACTGACCTCTCACCGGATCGCCCTTCCATGACATATTGTTACATTGTATTGTTTTTCTTTGTATTCTTGTATTAGAGGAGTAGAGCCCCTCCCCCAACCCCCCCCCCCCCCGGAATTATCGACATACGTGATCATTTCACCCCAATTTGTCTCATCGTGAAATATCTAATATTTTGTTTTGTTGGCAGGGAGAGTTCGGCGTCTACCTTGTGTCCGATGGATCGAGCCGTCCGTACCGCTGTAAGATCAAGGCCCCGGGATTCGCTCATTTAGTAAGTGATCGGTTCACAGCTTTTTTTTTGGGTTGGGATCCGAAGTTCGAGTTTAAAGGACCACCTCCCGTCCGGCCCATGTATGTAAACGTCCTCCCCCGCCTCCTGCTTGTGTGCGCTCCCTGGGAGCGTGCAGCACCGCGATCCAGTGCCCGCTGTGTCCTCCGGACAGAGTGGACCACAGATCGTCGTACACTTTATTTTCAAAATGTTTGGGACTTTTTCATTTATATAGCAAGGAAAATTAAAATCCCCGCAGTGAATAAATACCGCCAAAATAAAGCTTTATCTGTTTCAAAAAAAATGCTAAAAAATTCATATGGGTACCGTGTTGCATGACCCGCGCAATTGTCATTCAAAGTGTGATAGCGCTGAAAGCTGAAAATTGGCCTGGGGGCAGGAAGGGGGGGAAAGTGTCCGGACTGGAAGGGGGGGAAAGTGTCCGGACTGGAAGGGGGGGAAAGTGTCCGGACTGGAAGGGGGTGAAAGTGTCCGGACTGGAAGGGGGTGTGAAAGTGTCCGGACTGGAAGGGGGGTTGAAAGTTTCCGGACTGGAAGGGGGTGAAAGTTTCCGGACTGGAAGAGGGTGAAAGTTTCCGGACCGGAAGGGGGTGAAAGTTTCCGGACCGGAAGGGGGTGAAAGTTTCCGGACCGGAAGGGGGTGAAAGTTTCCGGACCGGAAGGGGGTGAAAGTTTCCGGACCGGAAGGGGGTGAAAGTTTCCGGACCGGAAGGGGGTGAAAGTTTCCGGACCGGAAGGGGGTGAAAGTTTCCGGACCGGAAGGGGGGGACAGAAGCGTCCGGACCGGAAGGGGGGGACAGAAGCGTCCGGACCGGAAGGGGGGGACAGAAGCGTCCGGACCGGAAGGGAGGGACAGAAGCGTCCGGACCGGAAGGGGGTGGGGACAGAAGCGTCCGGACCGGAAGGGGGGGGGGGACAGACAGCGTCCGGACCGGAAGGGGGGGGGGGGGGGACAGAAGCGTCCGGACCGGAAGGGGGGGGGGGACAGAAGCGTCCGGACCGGAAGGGGGGGGGGACAGAAGCGTCCGGACCGGAAGGGGGGGACAGAAGCGTCCGGACCGGAAGGGGGGGGGGGGACAGAAGCGTCCGGACCGGAAGGGGGGGACAGAAGCGTCCGGACCGGAAGGGGGGGACAGAAGCGTCCGGACCGGAAGGGGGGGGACAGAAGCGTCCGGACCGGAAGGGGGGGGGGGGAAGAAGCGTCCGGACCCGGAAGGGGGGGGGAGGAAGAAGCGTCCATACCGGAAGGGGGGGGAAAGAAGCGTCCGGACCGGAAGGGGGGGGGGGGAAGAAGCGTCCCATACCGGAAGGGGGGGGGGGGGGAAGAAGCGTCCGGACCGGAAGGGGGGGGGGAGAAGCGTCCGGACCGGAAGGGGGGGATAGAAGCGTCCGGACCGGATGGGGGGGACAGAAGCGTCCGGACCGGAAGGGGGGGATAGAAGCGTCCGGACCGGAAGGGGGGGGATAGAAGCGTCCGGACCGGAAGGGGGGGGGGGAGAGAAGCGTCCGGACCGGAAGGGGGGGAGAGAAGCGCCCGGACCGGAAGGGGGGGGGGGGAAAGCGTCCGGACCGGAAGGGGGGGGGGGGATAGAAGCGTCCGGACCGGAAGGGGGGGGAAGAAGCGTCCGGACCGGAAGGGGGGGACAGAAGCGTCCGGACCGGAAGGGGGGGACAGAAGCGTCCGGACCGGAAGGGGGGGGATAGAAGCGTCCGGACCGGAAGGGGGGGGGAGAAGCGTCCGGACCGGAAGGGGGGGGGGAGAAGCGTCCGGACCGGAAGGGGGGGGGGGAAGGAGAAAGATGGGAGAGAAAGAAGCGTCCGGACCGGAACAGGGGGGGGGGAAAGCGTCCGGACCGGAAGGGGGGTGAAAGCGTCCGGACCGGAAGGAACATAAGATCTGCCCCAAACAACAAAAGAGCATCCCCAGCAACTATAGACCCCTCCCTCAACGGTAAATCTCTCCTGGTAGTAGTTGACTCCCCATCAATATAAGACCCACCCAGCAGCAGTAGATCCCTCACCAGCAACAATAGTTCCCCCGCAGCAGCCAGCAGCCAATAGACCTTCCAGCACCCCTTGCCATTGCATACATTCAGCACTAGAGGGGGCTGTGTCTGGAAGCTGTGGTTGTAAGTGATGCTTTGTGTTACATCCTGGCAATTATTGGGTACAAATACTTCCTCCAGGGCAGCGACAGTGCAGTTTCCCCTCTACGTAGATGGCTGCTTCGCACCCTTTTCAGCCATTCAGGACAATATTAGAGAGCACAGGCATCAGTGGGCTTGGTTAGTACTGATGATGGTATGCCGTAGCTTGTCCATCAATTGTTGGCCACGCCTATGCCCTCCCACCCTCTGTCTGTGTTGGGGGGGGCCGTCTCAATGTGGTTGATCTCAGATTAGGTAACAGCCCTCACCTCTGCTTTGGAAATTCACAAGGTACGGACCCCAGCAGGGCTTGTTGCAGAATGACAGGTCCTCTTTTAAGGTCCACGTTTGGCCCATTTAATGGCGTGTTTTCCCTCTTCGTAGGCTGGTTTGGATAAGATGTCCCAGGGTCACATGCTGGCCGACGTCGTCGCAATTATCGGTGAGTGTCCTACAATCCATACCTACGTTGTTGCCCCTTCGGGTCTCATTGCCAACAGCTGATCCAAATCTCTCTCCTCCCCCCAAACAGGAACTCAGGATATTGTCTTCGGCCTCGAGAGGTGGATCGGTAATCAGCTGCTTTTTGTGTGAAAAGGATTCTGGGCCCGTGGTTCAGAGCGACCTCCATGTTTTTCCTGTGGCTTCTCCACCTTAGACCTAGAGGCTACACGTCTGTTTATTTTAAGCATTGCCCTTGTAAAGCTCGTTCTGGAAATAAATTAATTTCGGTTTCCTATCAAACAAAGCGTGTGTTCTTTGTCTCCGCCTCCTGTCCCGTGTGGACACACCTACATTGAGCCGTTGTAAGGTCCCCATTTTGAATATGGGGGACTGTAAGGGGTTTGGAGAGGGATCAGATGAGGAACACAAAGACGACAGAAGGGACGAGAGGTTACATAATAAAGACACGTCTGTTCAGTTCAGACAAAAAAACTTCTTCAGAACCTGAAAGCTGCTGTTGATCCAGAGGAAGGCAACAAAAAAAGCTTTATAGGATCTGCTCCAATGGGCTCCAGTAGGGGAATGGTTCCCGAGAAAATCGGATACTCCCAGTCTTGCAAAATACCCAAATGGAACTTCGATCTTGAGTCCATTCCTGCTGCCTGCTCGGTTATCTCTGGGGCCATCCTACCCTCACCTGCTAGCAGCTGTCCAAGTTTCGGGAGATCCAACAGCAAACTGGACAGGTTTGGTCTCCAGGTACAGGGATGCTCTAGCAGAAAGTTTGGTGGGTCCATAAGATCAAAACACTCTGGTCTAGGTCTTTCCTGCTGCCTGCTTGGTTTTCTCTGGCCATCCTACCCTCACCTGCTAGCAGCTGTCCAAGTTTCGGGAGATCCAACAGCAAACTGGACAGGTTTGGTCTCCAGGTACAGGGGTGCTCTAGCAGAAAGTCTGGTGGGTCCATGAGATCAATACACTCTGGTCTAGGTCTTTCCTGCTTGGTTTTCTCTGGCCATCCTACCCTCACCTGCTAGCAGCTGTCCAAGTTTTGGGCTTTCCAACAGCAAACTGGACAGGTTTGGTCTCCAGGTACAGGGATGCTCTAGCAGAAAAAGTCTGGTGGGTCCATGAGATCAATACACTCTGGTCTAGGTCTTTCCTGTTGCCTGCTTGGTTTTCTCCAGCCATCCTACCCTCACCTGCTAGAAGCTGTCCAAGTTTCGGGAGTTCCAACAGCAAACTGGACAGGTTTGGTCTCCAGGTACAGGGATGCTCTAGCAGAAAGTATGGTGGGGTCCATGAGATCAATACACTCTGGTCTAGGTCTTTCCTTCCCTAAAACTACTTCTTTGTCTTCTTCAGAGTCAAGATTAAGGGTATTTCATTGTTCCTCAGTGCCATGGATGGTGAACTCTGACCTAGTATGACTGGCAGATGCTCCATGGGGCTCTTCTGGATTTTCAATATCATCTACCCCAAGGACCAATTTGCTGTCCTTTATTAGCCACAGGCGATAATTTTTATGGCTGTCAAAGCTCAGGTTCTGAGAGATGGCATCTTGAGTCTGTAGTTTTGCTGCCTATTTGGTCATATCTGGCATCCTACACTCACTCACCTGCTACCCATGTTTGAGGCCAACAGCAAAACTGGATGAGCTTGGTCTCCAGGTACAGGGATGCTCTAGCAGAAAGTCTGGTGGGTCCATAAGATCAATACACTCTAGTCTAGGTCTTTCCTTCCCTAAAACTACTTTTGTCGAGTCAAGATTAAGGGTAGTTCAGTGTTCCTCAGGGCTGTGGATGGTGAACTCTGACCTAGTATGACTGGCAGAGATGCTCCATGGGGCTCTGCTGCATTTTTAATATCTACCCTAAGGACCAATTTGCCGTCGTCTTTTATTAGCCACAAGCTATAATTGTGAGGCTGTTGAAGCCCAGGTTCTGAGAGATGGCATCTTGAAGTCTCTAGTTTTGCTGTCTATTTGGTCATATCTGGCATCCTACCCTCACCTGCTACCCATGTTTGAGGCCAACAGCAAGCTGGATGAGTTTGGTCTCCAGGTAAATGGATCCTCTCGAAGAAAGTCTAGTGGGCCCAAGAGATCAATACACTTTGGTCTATGCCTTTCCTTCCCTAAAACTACTTCTTCGTCATCTTCATAGAGTATTTCATAATATTCTAGTAATCCATGGTATTGCAGTTCTCCCTTAGTGCTGAGGGCTGGCCTAGGTGGATAGTTTTCTCTGACTTAGTATGACTCTGGCAGATGCTCCATGGGGCTCTCCTGGATCTTTAAATGCTTCCATCCCAAGGACCAATTTGCCATTCTTTCCAGCTGCTGGCTTTAATGATATGGCTGATGAAGCCCAGGTTCTGAGAGATGGGTATCTGAAAATACGGTTCTGCTGCTGCTTGGTCATATCTGGCATCCTACCCTCACCTGCTACCCATGTTTGAGGTCAACAGCAAACTGGATGAGTTTGGTCTCCAGGTAAATGGATCCTATAGAAGAAAGTCTGGTGGGCTCAAGAGATCAATACACTCTGGTCTATGCCTTTCCTTCCCTAAAACTACTTCTTTGTCATCTTCACAGAGTCATGATTCAGGGTATTGCAGTTCCCCCTTAGTGCTGAGGATTGGCCTAGGTGGATAGGTTTTTATGGCCTAGTGTTACTCTGGCAGATCTCCATGGGGCTCTCTTGTGCATCTTCAAATTCTTCTATCCCAAGGACCAATTTGCCATCCTTTCCAGCCGCTGGCTTTAATGATATGGCTGTTTAAGCCCAGGTTCTGAGAGTTGGGAATCCCAAAGTCTGGTTCTGCTACCTGCTTGGTCATCTCTGGCCATCCTACCCTCACCTGCTACCAGCTGTCCGGATTTGGTGGTTTGGTCTCCAGGTACAGGGATCCTCTAGCAGAAGCTCTTTCATCCCCTAAAATGTCTTCGTCTGCTTCACAGAATCAAGATAAAGGGTATTCCAGTGCTCCTCAGTGCTGCAGATTGGTCCAGGTGGATGGGGTACTCTGACTTTGTGTAACTCTGGCAGAATCTCCATGGGGGTCTGTTGGGTCTTTTAAGATCTTCTATGCCCAAGGATCTTCAGCCACTGACTAATGGTATGGCAGTTGAATCCCAGGTTCTGAGAAATGGGCATCTCGAAGTCCCATGATTCCTATGCTAAAAGCTAGGAATTCTACTTACAAGGTCTATCATCGCATGTGGAAGGCATACTACATTAGGTGTGAGTCTTGGGGTGTCCACCTCAAGAGTTTCATCTTGGGAAAAATCCTCTCCTGCCTACAGCTGGGTTTGGACCAATGTTTGGCTCTATCAAGGTCATATTTCTGCTCTTTCTGTCTTGTTTCAGAGACTGTTGGCCTCTCACTCGTTGATGAAGACCTTTGTACAGAGGATCTACCATGCAGCTTCATTTGTTCATTCCCCTGTGGCTCCATGGGATCTGAATGTGGATCTTACTGTACTTTAGAAACCACCATTTGAAGCTATCAGAGATGTTTCCTTCTACTCTCACAAGATGGTATACCTTTTAGCCATCACCTGTGTCAGGTGAGTGTCTGATCTGGTGGCCTTGTCTTGTAAAGAATCATTTCTGGTCTTACACAGGATTACATATGGTGGCGTTGAGGTCCAGAGCCTCCTTCCTTTCTACGGTGGCATTTTGATGTTGAGGTCCAAAGCCTCCTTCCTTTCTAAGGTGATATTTTGGTGTTGAGGTCCAAAGCCTTCTTCCTTTCTAAGGTGGCATTTTGGTGTTGAGATCCAGAGATCCCAAGGTGGCATTTTGGTGTTGAGATCCAGAGCCTCCTTCCTTTCTAAGGTGGCATTTTGGTGTTGAGATCCAGAACCTCCTTTCTTTCTAAGGTGGCATTTTGGTGTTGAGATCCAGAGCCTCCCTTTCTAAGGTGGCATTTTGGTGTTGAATCCAGAGCCTCCTTTTCTAAGGTGGCATTTTGGTGTTGAGATCCAGAGCCTCCCTTCCTTTCCAAGGTGGCATTTTGGTGTTGAGATCCAGAGCCTCCCTTCCTTTCCAAGGTGGCATTTTGGTGTTGAGATCCAGAGCCTCCTTCCTTTCTAAGGTGGCATTTTGGTGTTGGGATCCAGAGCCTCCTTCCTTTCCAAGGTGGCATTTTGGTGTTGGGATCCAGAGCCTCCTTCCTTTCCAAGGTGGCATTTTGGTGTTGGGATCCAGAGCCTCCTTCCTTTCCAAGGTGGCATTTTGGTGTTGGGATCCAGAGCCTCCTTCCTTTCCAAGGTGGCATTTTGGTGTTGGGATCCAGAGCCTCCTTCCTTTCCAAGGTGGCATTTTGGTGTTGGGATCCAGAGCCTCCTTCCTTTCCAAGGTGGCATTTTGGTGTTGGGATCCAGAGCCTCCTTCCTTTCCAAGGTGGCATTTTGGTGTTGAGATCCAGAGCCTCCTTCCTTTCCAAGGTGGCATTTTGGTGTTTGAGGTCCAGAGCCTCCTTCCTTTCCAAGGTGGCATTTTGGTGTTGAGGTCCAGAGCCTCCTTCTTTTTCCAAGGTGGCATTTTGGTGTTGGGATCCAGAGCCTCCTTCCTTTCCAAGGTGGCATTTTGGTGTTGAGATCCAGAGCCTCCTTCCTTTCCAAGGTGGCATTTTGGTGTTGAGATCCAGAGCCTCCTTCCTTTCCAAGGTGGCATTTTGGTGTTGAGGTCCAGAGCCTCCTTCCTTTCCAAGGTGGCATGTTTGGTGTTGAGGTCCAGAGCCTCCTTCCTTTTCCAAGGTGGCATTTTGGTGTTGGGATCCAGAGCCTCCTTCCTTTCCAAGGTGGCATTTTGGTGTTGGGATCCAGAGCCTCCTTCCTTTCCAAGGTGGCATTTTGGTGTTGAGATCCAGAGCCTCCTTCCTTTCCAAGGTGGCATGTTGGTGTTGAGGTCCAGAGCCTCCTTCCTTCCAAGGTGGCATTTTGGTGTTGAGATCCAGAGCCTCCTTCCTTTCCAAGGTGGCATTTTGGTGGTGAGATCCAGAGCCTCCTTCCTTTCCAAGGTGGCATTTTGGTGTTGAGATCCAGAGCCTCC